GGGAGAGCCACTTCATATTGACGAAGTTTCACACACGCGTGTAGAAACATTGGGTGAATCGCGGTGAAAATATCGGGTTGGTAAGGATAACGTCTCGTGAACGTTGCCAGTGGAGTCAGCAAGTCGATGACCTGTGGCAAACCGCGTTAGAGGCGCTTTCAGGGACAGATAACGCAGGAATTCCGTACATTGGGTTGACTTAAGAGTCTCATCACGAAAACATTGACGCGTTCCGGGACGTACGCCAGTGCATTGGATTGAAAGTTTTCGCAAAAGTTCAAGATCTGAGTCACCAACCCTGGACCCGATCCAGATTGTTCTAATCGTGCAGCTCTAATATAATACAGATGAGTAAGGTTATCAGCATTGGAGCCCATGCGGAAGGTGTCGGCGCCTTTGAGATACACGCCATGCTCAACAAGACGCGAATAACGTACAAGATGTAAATATATCCAATAGTATTTGAACGAGGATCTAAAACTGCTAGAGGATCTTCATTATTTGGCAATGATGAGGCTAGAATGGCTTCGGCGACATCGCGTTTGAGGAACGATTTAAGACCTTGGGCCAAGACTCCTTGATCTGGTATTGTAGTTGCCGCGGTTACTATATCTTCGAGCGTAGCAAGGTTCATGATTAGAGTGGGTGGCAAAGGTGTATTCTGAGGCTAACCACCACATTCGACCTAAGTACAAGGTAATCGAGATGGATTTCATGGTGACCTACGTAGGCACAGTAAAGCTCGTAAAGATGAATGACCTAGAGTCTAGAGCGCTATATCAAAGAACAAATGCAAACGGAAGGGGTAAGGAAGGGTGACTAGGTTGGTGATCTGTCAAAACGCGGTCAAGTTTCTGGTTCAACCTAAGAACAGTCAAGAAAGGGAGAGTTTGGGTTAACCCACGCAAGGGTAGTGGATGCGAGCCTATTGACAATGGGGGACTCGTGTGCAGATGTGGATGGAGGGGCAAAATGAGCAGAGTATTATATTACTGTGAAGTGAAGTGACTATATGCAACAAGTAAAGGGAATGAATTGGGAATCATGTGGGTACTGTATGTCTTGGTTTCTTGATTGTAGTCGCTTTGCGTTTTGGCCGACTGGGTGATGAAGAAGGAGAGGATGCCGGACTTGCACTATGTCGCCTTCTTCTCTTCTTATCTTTTACGTCCTTTTCATCCAGCTCTTTGGCAAATAGCCGTGTGCGTTTGACTGTCGGTAACGGACTAAATTCTGGATGTGAAGTCGGCAGTTTGGCGCGGTCATAGGCCTCGCTTGGAAGGTTATAAAGAGGGTTGGGGAATTCCTGTCGCTTTCCACGACTGAGAAGAAAGAGTGAATGAGCAAGCATTCTGCAAGTAGACGGTGTTCGACTTACAATACGTAGGAAACAGTGGGTGCCTCCTCGAGCTCTTCTTCTTCATCCTCGTCTTGTGTTGGCTTTGGGGGATCTTCTCCCTTTTTCTTCACAAGAAAGACGTTACGTGGCGAGTCTCGAATCGGTCCGTCTTCATCCCCATCAGGATTAGGAAGCAACTCGCCGTCAGACGAGGAGGCGGTTGCAGTCCGCTTGAGCGCAGGGCGGGGTATCTGAACCTTTGAACGCGTTTCCTTGACTGGAGAAAGAGGTGGAGAAGGGGGTAAGCTACCCGTTGTCGATGAAGCCTTTCTCTTCTCCTTGTCCTTGAGCTCTGTTGACGGGCCCCCCTCCTTCTTGTCGGCCGAACCTCCTAACCAGAACAAATCTTCAGCAGCCTTCTCAGCTTCCAAATCGACAACGATGGTTTTGGTGACCGTCGTCGTCACCGTCTTGCCCTTGGTCTTGGTCTTGGACTTGAAGACAAGTTTGCTAATAGGCCTCTCCTCATATTCGCTCAAACTGCTCTCCGATCCTTCTTCTACATCCTCTCCAGAGGGCACTTCTTTTCTTTGTCTTTTCTTGGTGTCCCCAGAGCGGGGAGGAGTGGGCAACGAAGCAATGGACGCAGTTCGTTTCAACGGTCGTCGTGGCGCAACAGGCGCATGTTGTAGAATAACGGGTGAAGGGTCTAAAACTCGTGGCATAATGCGGGGAACGTCGTAGGGGGTGTCGCACTGGTGAAGATGACGGCCCGCCGTGAAATGGTCAGAGGTTGAAGTTGAGGTTGAGAATGCTTTGTTGAGCAAACCCAGCCCGGAGCCACAGAGTTGCGCAAAAATTGGCCAAGCTTGAAGGGTGACTCAGACCTGCTTAAAATGTTTTTATACGAATCGTGATAATTTTGGGAGCGTATTTCAGCGATAAAA